CTTTTGACATCAAAAAAGTAAGCTATATACTTATATGCTCTATTTTAAAACAAATTTGATACGTAAATTAGAATGACATGTGAAAAACAAGGGACTTTGATGATTATTTTAGTATCTAATAAAGTTTAACTAGAAAAAATTGCAACGGCCATTCTAAAACCAATTGAAACATTGGGAGGAATAACATATTGACAGAAAAAAAGAAGAATGAAGATACGAATCTATGAGAAAGAAATAAAGAGAAAAAAATGCATTATTATGTATATTAAAAGAGCAAGAGAGAGTACCTTTCATGGGTGGGAGACATGGACATGAAGAAAAGTTTGGTAAGATTGGAGTTAACGTGAACTTCCAACCACTGAGACATTGTTTGCAAAGCCATCTCATAAACTCTTACCATCTCCACTTCTTTGTATATTCCATCTAACTTCTCAAACGACCCCCACCTTTTATTTATTTATTCACATATTACCCACATATTGAGAAAATGTATATAGAGAGATCTTTTTTCAGTTCAACTCTATGTAAATTAAGAAACTTACAACGTCTTCATATGAGGCCTTAGCCACCATAAATAAGAGTTTAAGACAATGATATCAGATTGAGTCCATTGCCTCGCATGTTTTTCTATCGATTGGACCCGAACTATCCGTTCGGGTAACCTGTGGTTTGTTGGATCGTCTGAGTTGGATTCCACCATCAATGGAGCCCAATAAAAATCTATTGTCGCGTTGTATTCCTGATTATTTATTCCAAGAAAGTTCAGGTTATTTGTCGATCGAGTGTAGATGTATATTTGATGAAAAGACTATCAATTTGTACAAAACTACAAATGCACTAGTTGGATGACTTACGAGGGATTTGAAAGTGATGAGATTAGAGCCGTTGCTGTGAAAGTACATCATCTTTGGGTTTGTAATAACAGAACTAGCCATACACACCATTGATACCCATTGGCCTCTGTTCAAGGAGTCTCCTACGTACACCATCCTCTTATTTCTCAGCCTCTCCAGCAACTTCGTCCCATTAAACCTTTTTTTGACGTACAATAAAACGTTTGAATGATGATAATATTGGTATAAATATCTGGTAACAACCATTAACTGCCTTAAATTGTTATCTTAATATTTTAATTCCTTTAGTTTCGTTCAATACCGAATTAACTGCCGTTAGGGTGATTTGGGGCCCAATAAAAGGAAAAAAACAGTAAGGGCCCAAATCAGGTCCAACCAATTGTACTTCCCTTTTTTTTCTCTTTCTTTTGCGTGACTATAAATTATTTACCAAATAGCATACTTCTCTTTTTTTTTAATAAATGTCAAATTTATCCAGTTCAAACCATTTTTACTACGAATGCAATAACACTTGCTAAATGATTTTTTAACTAGTTGATTTACATGTGTAAAGATAATCATATACTTCAACAAGCAAACCATACGTATATATTCTTTCTAAGAAACCAATGATAGTATGGTATACGAGAAAGCAATAACAATATGGTTTACTTTACACTGACTCAGTGATCTGTTAACTAAGAACTAGTAAATCAAAGCTTAGCTTATATGTACAGGGATAATCCTCATAAGGCACAAAGGGTTTAAGAATACATGATACAACCAAAAATCTCAATTGAATAGTCAAATGAAGTCATTATAACCGTTTACGTGCAAACTGAGAGATACATAAGTAGAAACGGATGTTAGTAGAATTATGTCAATTATTCTCCCTAGATGCGATAAAGAAGAAAATTAACCTGGGAAGATCACACTTGTGAGGTTGCCACCTCCAGAATTTGTAACTCGAATCTTTTCTTCCAAACTTTCCACAGGCCAACTGATCAGACATGAACTTACACTCTTCTTCTCTATAAATAGGGTTTGACTTGTTATCAAATACCCATTTCCCTTCGAAAAGATTACACTCTCTGTCACTGCCCTCGCCTTCTTCCACGTTCGAATCACCGTCGCTTTGAGGATTTTCCTTTGGCATACCGTTTCGGGACAAAAACATGGCAGTGAATATTACTCCGGCCACAAGAACAGCGGCAAGAGTGTGAAAGCTCGCCCTGATTCCCAGCATCAACAGTTGTCGCTTTGCCATTAGTTTGTGTTGTTATTGTTATGATGTTTTGTTTTAGGTATTATTGATCTGTCTATCTCTAACTTGCCTTTTAACTTCATCCTTCTTGAAGTATTTTTGGAGTTTGGTGGCCAATCAAATTTTTGAAGCGGTCTATGAATAAGTTATGCCTATATATATATCTGAGTGTTTTTCTAATTAGTACTAGAATTTTAATATTTGTGTTGATAGTTTCCCAAGCAATGCCCACTTGCAACAAAAATAATTATTTTCTAGTTTATTACAGAGTGGAAACTTATTTCCTAACTTCCATATTAATTATGAAGGCTAGTTGATTTGAGCTTGAGATCTAACTTTACATTGTTGTGCTTTGGTCTGCGAATCATACACAAAGTAGGAATCTAATGTTATTAAGTTGCCATAATGGAAATAGGAAACTACTTATTGTATATTCCAATAAACTAATAAACTACTAGAGAAAATGTATCAAGGTGAGGCTGTATCTACATATATCAACGCACACCTATATCTAAATTTTAGTTAATGATAGGATTGTACTGGCTTACTTTTGAATTCATTGTCCAAGAATATGGTTCGGGATGGTCAAATCATATATTATACTTATGTAAAGGTGACTAGGTGAGGTTAAGCTGTACCTTTCGACATTCATACTATTCGTTGGCTTCAAGTTACCTCAAGATCAAGTCCATGGTATATCTATGGATTTGTGATCATAGATTGGGCCCAGTTGGGTATAGAGAGAGATACCCTGGGTCTTTGGGTTTTGTTTTTCCCATCCAATTCATCTGCAGACCAGTCATGCTCAATGTGCTTAGGTCGTGATAGACCTTGACCTTGTCATGCATTTTCTTTTTGCCTAGCTATTGGTAGTAGGACCTCATATCCTCGCTCTTCTTCCCATTAAAACCATCACTGTCAATTCGTCATTTTCTCGATTACTTTCTCAAAGCATTTGGTCGAACCCTATCATGTAAAGATAAACGACTAGTTACTGTAGCCAAATTGTGTTGATATAATATTTTTCTCCCCATGGATCATGAATGCTTTTTGTTAGCTTCTCAAAAAGAAAAAGACAAACTAGAAATATAGTGTGGAAAAAGGGTCTACTCGTTGAATAGTAATGAATGATTTGCAAATAAAGGGATTTATAACTCACTGTTATTTTAACTCCAAATGTTATTATAACAGAATAAAATCTACTATTATCCATTTTTAGTTCTTTAAAAAATAAAAAATCGCTATTTTCTCTATATTAGAGTAATAAATATAAAATGATACTTTAAAAACATACATTAATATAAATAAATTTATATCATAATTTTTGTTTTAAATATATATATATATATATTGGAGATGGTCTTACTTATATTGAGTAGTTATATATAAATCACTTCTAAAGTACATGGTCGGTTGGTATTAACAAAGTAGATTAATCTAAAGTAAATGCTACCAATCATCTTTCGTAATTTTTTTTTTTGGAGAAACAATCATCTTTGATAATTGGGTTTAAAATCTTCTACAGTCCTTAAGACCTTCTACTTAATCTTTAGATTAACCAATATAAATTAAAGGGAATTAAGTACACATGATAATGAACCCACCTTAACCCGACCCCGACCTATCGTGTTATTGTGTTAAGGCCGTACGTTCATAAATCATAAACATCAATCGATCCCTCCTCTTCTAATAACAAGATGCTAGTATGTAAAAAAAAAATGCTAAAACGTGAATACTAATCGTATTTATCGATCTTCTTATTCTGTTACGTAATTTCCTTCACTCGAACGAGCGGAAACTTGGTCAGAGGTCCAATCAAACTAGAAGAAACTGTGGCGTGAAGGATCTCATAACTCATAAGCATAATTTTTATTTTCTTCAGTCAGAACTCAGAAGAAAATAAAATTTAATTTGCAAACCATAATTAATATATTTTCCGCAACTTGCAAAATATTTCAGCTACCCAGTCCCACTTGCACTGCCAACTTGTCAGCATTGATCTTATTTTGACACCTTTCGTGGCCACATATGTATGCATCTTATGATTAGTTAGCTATATATGCTATAATGGTCGATATTTGACAGCACAAGAAATGGTAAATGAAAGTACGAAACCTTATTTTCTTTAATGTTTTGATTTCATTGTTTGGTTATGTCGTATTCATTTTGGTGATTATTTATGTTATTTAAGATATTTATACAGGAACTTATAATCATAGTGAATTCAAGATCGAAATCCAAACTAATCCCAAAAGCTATTATCAATTAAAAATGAACATAGTTGTAATTCAACTTTTCTATCCATTGATAAATCTTCCAATCGACATACGACCATGACTTGAGTATAGAATTGTGAAAACAATGGATTATAGTTATTGCAAAGCATCAAAAATATAAAAACTGGACCTTTTTTTTGAATCTTGCGGATAGGAAGAAATGTATGGTTTAAAGTTTCAAACCCACTTGAATATATAAAACAAATGAAATCAGTTTAAAAGGACATGCAACTTGCCCATCTTCTCTATTCTATATTGTTTTATTATAATTCAAAATTTAATATTATACTTTTTCAATTGGGAAGAAGCATAAAAAAAGAAGGTGGAGATAAACAAGTTGCAACTTGCATTCCTCTTTATTAAACAGCTTGGCTTGTTGTGCTATATCATTCAAAACATATGCCCACTTGCAATTTTTTATTTCGTTTTATTTCATCAACATGTTCACATCTATTTTATATTCAAATGTATGTATGCATGTATCTTGTTCATTAAAATATTTACCCTTCACCTTCAACAAATTCTACTCATGAAAATTATTTTCTCAAATATATCACACATGTAAATGTTTAGCTTTTGTAAAGGTAAATTCAATTATTTGTTGCACACATATTCTGATTTTCTATAGAAAGCTTAAATATCAATTCCTTTTTAATCACTATGGAACAATAATTAAGTAAAAAGTTGGAGAAACAATTGAAAATTTAAACCATAAAAAAAAGAAGACATACATTGTATATTTTTTTTTGAAACACATACATACATTGTATATCACGCCCAAGATTAACGTTTCCCTTGTAAAGTATTAAAGTAAAAACAATATGTTAACTTTTGACCCAAAAAAAAACAATATGATAACTTGAAATAAAAAAAAATAAACGGATGATGCAGTTTATTTATCCTATTATTAGTTATTATTATCTTTGGGTGGTGAAAGCCGGAATAGGGCTTATCCGAATCAGTTCTTTATGGAGATAAAATACAAAAAGAAAGTAGAGAGATTATGCTGCATGAGAGATTAATTCACTAATGTATTTTCTTTTTTCACACAATAAGCCGGTAAAAACATAGATCACACGACGGCTAAAAAAATCAAGAAACGACGTCGGATCATAGCGAAACTATTCAGACAACAAACAAAACACATCACATGGACATCTTCTTGTTCCCTTCCGCCGTCTCAGCTATCTTAGCAAGAGACTGGAGATTGCATCGTACTATAACGTCAACAAAGTCGCATGTCTCTTCCTTCGTGTTCCCTGGAGGCACATCAACGACGTAAGACTCAACAACCACCGTCCCGGAGACCGGAGAAGAGTGAAGAGTCGTGACGGATCTGTAGTTAGAGAGCCTATGGTCTCCACCAACAACGCTGAAACTAATGACATGTTGCTCGTCGTCTAGAATATCAAGACGCTCGGTGGAGCTCGCGGCGGGGAGGCCAGAGACGACGTGGACTTGACGTAAGCTACCAACGTTCCCACCGTCTCCGTCGATGACGCTGCAGCTCTTGAGGAAGTGTTTGTAAGCTTGAGGGTTGTCAAAGCGTCTGACGACGGACCATACGGTGGAGATAGGTGCGGAGATCTCTTGTATCACGGCGGAGCAACACTGGTTAGGACCAACCTCGTGCGTGTGGAAACGAGCGGCGGTTGTGTCGCGTGAGAGTGAAGGGAAACGTTTTTGAACCATCGTTGGGATCTGGACGGTGTCTCCGTCTGATACGGCGGAGGAAGGGCGATGAACGGCAAGCATGTTCTTGTTTTTTTTTTAAGAATCTTGATCGTTTCTTTGATGAAGTTCTTTAGGGTTTAGATGAAGAAGGTGGAGGATTCAAGAAGAAGATGTTAAAGAGAGGAGAAGATTGTGTGTATATAAAAAAAGAGGAGGAAGATCAACTTTACAGCGACTTGCGAAAAAGTTGGGCTGTGGCTTTCGATTTGATAGAGAGGAGTTTTTAATGCAGAGTTCATGTGAGTGATAATAACGAAAACAAAACCAGCAACTTGCAACTTTGTTAATTTACGTTTCTACCCATTTTGTTGACCTGACTGTTCGAATATGATTTATATATTGGCAAGTAGTGACCATAATTCTCGTGTATTGTTTATCATTACAGAACAATATTCAATATTCTAGTACAAGTAGAAACGGTTTTAGTTATTTTAGAGCTTTTAAAACTAGGGATTAGCAAAGATATGCTAAATAAAATCTGGACAAAATGGTTTGAAATTGTTTTGACGGTTTGATCTGAATAATAATCTACTGCAATCTATTTTCAAAATTTAGACGGTTGTATTCCAAATATCTACATATCAGATCCAAATATCCAAAACTTCAAGAATATTCATGAAAATTGATTAGCAAGTTGTATCGCTTTGATTATGATATACTGATACACAATTACAAAGCAAATGTCTTTCCTCCATTTTACGTCACGAGAAGGATATGCACATTCACAGCCAATATACATCATGTGATGCACAAAAATATGGAAATAGTTTGCTAACTGAAGATAATTGAGATGTGGCAAGAGCAACTTTTTGGTAATCATATCATCATGTTTCATATGGTTAATGTGACCACGATTGATGAGTTATTGCTTTGTGCAAAGCCTAAAGAATTGATGCAATGCAGAACGAGAGATTTTAATAAGAAATTTCAATCTACAAAGTCAGCCATCCAGATCGTTAATTTAACCCGGAATCGAGGCAGATTCACCGCAACTAATATTCGAATAATGTAAACGCCGTGGAAACTTCAAATATATGAAAATCATAAATTAATATTTAGATGGAAGAGTAGCTACTGGACAGAAATTTGTAGGTTATATTTTAATTGTAAGACTACTATTGGTGGAGAATGGTAAACATGAAAGAGTGATACTATTGTTTGGTGAAGGTTATAAACTATGAGATTGCTATATTTATTTGTGATTGCCGGTTCAAAGATACATTTAACAAGATGATGTTTATCTTCCAAACAATACTTGTTTTTTATAAGATGACGAGATTAGCACCCAAACTAGTAGAAGAAAACAAACAAAAAGAATCGAACTGAATATCTGAAACTCATAACTACATGAACGATTTACACACTTTTATATTATTCAAGATACTCGAATCGGTGTCCACTTTCATGCCTAATAAAAACTAGGTTCATGTCTAATAGTAAAAACTAGGTTCTTGTCTAATATTATACGTCGTTCTTTAAACTCCTTTTTTTTTTAATGTGGAACTTGTCAAGTTGAAAAGAGGTGTTTGACTAACGAGAAAGGTACACAACATTTCAAACAACACGGTATGAGTGAAACTCGTGTAGTTTCTATTATCAATTAACGAACACTGTGCAGTTTTGGTTTACCGGTTGGGATCTTTCCACTAGACGCCACAAACTATGAGTTCAACGAAGAGACATGTAAGTTGACTGTCTTCATCCGTGAGACCTGTGAGGTTGGGTTCAGAGACTCATCGGTCCTGCGGTTTTCAACTACGGTAACTGGTTACTTAGAGAAAGGGAAGCTAGCTGAAGTAGAAGGCTTGAAAGGTAAAGTGATGATTTGGGTGAAAGTGAGTTGTATGTCATCAGATAGATGCATCAAAGGTTTATTTCACGGCTGAGATGAAGAAAAGCAGGAGCAGAGATGTTTATGAGGTGAAACGTCCCAGTGTTAATGTTGATAAATTCTAAACTTATGTATGCTTTTAACTCCTTTGTGTCAACAGTAAGCTCTGATGAAGCAAACCTTTTACTTGTTATGTATTAAGAATGTTGGAAACGTTGGGTACTTGAGAGAGTTTTGTCGCGGTAAACAGCCTATCTTTCTGCTTTTTGTTGGGATAAAATAGATATTAGCCTCTTGGCGAGAGAAGAAATATAAACATGAGTGATCTCTCCACAAGAAGAGAAATCTTTATCACAAGAACTCTTGAATTCCTCTGCAGGAAGGGAAGTGCCATATTCCCAAACGGTAATGTCAAACCAACTCTAGTAAGTAATTTTCATTTTATCAACAACACATATCTTTCACAGGCAAAAAAAAAAGCATCACTTACTAAATGTTTTATTCAACTTTGGTTAGCTTTTCTACTAATAAGAATTTTTTTTTCATAAATTACTCATTACGTTTACTTATGATTTTAGTACTGATTTAGATAGTAATCTTCGTGTCTAATAAGCTTGTTGCAGTGGTAGACGTGGTTTCATCAGATTCTCACTCTAAATTCTTCCCAAAGACTAAAAAACATGACTCTGCACAAGTCTCTCTTGTTTTCTCACGTCGAGCTGTCCATAACTATGCTCCTCGATTTGGTCTTAGTTTCTAGAGAAAATGTGGGTTATGGAGTATTAGACAAGACAATGGTTCTCTTCGGACCAGCTAGCTGATGCTATCAATCAACTAAAATTCATGCCGTTCTTGACCTTGGCTGGTTGTTTATGTGCTCATGGGATTGAAGGAACATTCTTTGCGCTGTTTAAGGAACATTCTTTGTGCTGTTATGTCGATAAACAACCTTAGGAACACAGTTTGGTCATTCATGGGAGCATGATTGGCTTCACTACTTGAAATCTTGTCAAGGTGGTTTTGAGAATATGTTTGTGGGCTTAGCAATTCAAGCGTTCTGCACTTATATACCAGCATTGTTTCTTTTCTTGATACGCAATGAAGCTACAAAAGTATCAACTTCATAGGCTAGAGAGAAAAGATAGTTTCTCTTGGTTTGTTATTGCTAATTTTTTCTCTGTGTCTCCTTGAGCAAGATTTCAGTTTCGTAAAAAGTCTTTCACTCCTACTTGCTTAACATCTTATTAAGCTTTAGTAAAGGATATTGCCTTAAACAAACATCTCTCAGCTCTCCTCAAACTTTGTGGAGTTCTAACTATGGATGCTCAACTCCTAGTTGAATATCTCATCAATGAAGTAGGATGTTCTCTTTACAATAGACAAATTCCACGGCACAATTCAAAGCAACAAAGATAATAGTCCACTTAATTGGACAATATAAAGTATGTTGTTTCCTTTGTAAATTTATATCTAAATAATTTTAAAAATTTATTTTTAATTATTTACTTTATTGTAGCTGAAACTGATTTTGAAGCAAATTTGGATAGCTGCTTTTAACTTCACTTGTTGCAGCAACAGTTAAAAGTGATTCTTCTTTTGGGCGTATTACTGAGAACGTAAACTTGTTCTTAGAAATTTTTGTATATATTTATAGATTCATTGATTATATTAATGACTGATTTTTTATTATAGACAATTTATACCCCAAATATTAGAGAGCGTAATCTACCAAGACATAAACATGCTATGTTTTATGTATCTCTATTCTCTAGCATAGATGAATTTGGGGTTCCATATTGGAATTCCAAGATTCCTATACAAGAGAGATTGTTATTTGTGCAAAAATAGAGCACCAAATTGAAGATTAAGCAATTATGTTATCTCTTTTTTTTATTTAATGTATTCTTGCTCATAAAATTTATTTTCTAAACACTTATTCCATTTTACTTGCCAGATGAAGTTGATTTTGAGGATGAATTGATTCCATATTTTGCAACATCATCAGTTGCAACAAGTAAAAAAAATCTAAACATCACACAACCGGTCACTAAGAATCAAACATGAAGGATGTCCATCTTTTCTACAAATAACTTGACATATACTACTGCATTGTTCATCTTGTTGATTGCTACAATCAACTCCAACTCCAATTTACTATTAATAAACAAAATATATGAAAATATTTTTGCTAATTAATTCATCAATGTTGGAGAGATGTTTGCCCACTTAATTCATTAAACACTTTTCATATCTTTTTCCTTATTTACCAACTATTATTTGTTTTAATTTCAGAAATGAGTGATTATATATCTCATAGAGGTACAAAACTCATCATGGACAAGGTGCTCTATCAACACGAGGTGTGATGTCTGTTGGGCCATTGCATTGACAAGACAGTTCCAAGCTCTCTTGAGATTATATGAAGTTATTGATGCTGATGCTGAGCTCTCAATACAGTATCTTATAAATGAAGTGGGATCTTCAATGAGTACTGACGATCAAAGGGGTTGGAAAGGAGGGATTCCAGATTTCGAAACAACAACAAGATTTTTGACTGAGGGTGGGCATGTATTAGAACACGATTGTTCGCTTACCAATGACGTACAAGCTACCAATCCATGTTTTGATGGAAAGCGACGTTACAAAAGTGGGGTTGAGATCAAAGTCCACTACATTGATGATTATGATAGTAAGCAGCTTTTCCTAATCTTTTAATTTTTAAAATAATGTTTTTTTTCTTAGTAGATCATTTTGTTTGACTTTTGTTGTCACCTGAAGCTCTTTTTGAAAAGGAGTTAATGAGGTGTCTTTTAATATCGCCTGTTGTGGTTTCAGTTGCCAACTATCCCTCTTTAGCAGGAGTTTAAGATGTATGTGCCAACTCTAGGGGAGATGATTGCTAGACGTCAAGGTCGAGAAAAAAAACATAACAGTTATGTTGCTTTGTGAGTCTAACATAGACGACTAGACTTTGATTTCCTATTGGCTATTCCAAGACTCCTATGGCCCAAACGCATGAGTCGATCGCTACCTTAAAGTTAAAAGGAAAATAGGACATTGGTAGATTTTGTGGAGATAAAGCTGACGCTAGAGCAAGACGAATCAACACTTGGAAAGAGAAAGATAGAAGAGGATCACAGTAGCATTCAGACAACAAAGCCAAATCAACTTCCAAGGCACAATTCAAAGCAACAATAATAATAGTCCACTTAAATGGACAATATAAAGTATGTTTTCTTTGTAAATTTATATCTATATATATATATATATATATATATATATATAATTTTATTTTTATAGTCTATTTTATTCTAGCTGAAATTGATTTTGAAGCCAATTTGAATCGCTGCTTTTTAACTTCACTTGTTGCGGCAACAGTTAAAAGTCATTCTTCTTTTGGAAGTATTACTGAGAACGTAAACTTGTTCTTAGAAATTTCTGTATATTTTTATTGATTCATTTCTTATATTAATGACTGATTTTTATTATAGACAATTTATACCCCAAATCTTAGAGAGCGTAATCTACCCACACATAAACATGCTATATTTTATGTATCTCTAGCATAGATGAATTTGGGGTTCCTTATTGGAATTCTAAGATTCCTATAGCATAACAAGAACGATTGTTATTTATGCAAAAATAGTGCACTTAATTGAAGATTAAGTAATTATGTTATCTCTTTAAATGTTTTCTTGCTCATAAAATTTATTTTCTAAACAACTATTCCATTTTACTTGGTAGATGAAGCTGGTTTTGAGGATGAATTGATTCCATGTTTTGCAACATCATCAGTTGCCACAGTGGTTAAATGGAGTGGAATCTTTAAAAAATAGTGAAGTTCAAAAGGTGTATTTTCAGTTCACTTTTGCGGCAATAACGATGATACTTGTGGCCGAGTCGGTGTTGGAGAGGAGGAATATTAAAGCATGGATGGATTTTGTGCCATTGTGGCTGATCTTTAGCTATACAGTCGGAGCTTATAGTATATGGGGCGGAGTTATTGATTACTCCTGTGGTTATTTGAATATGTGATTACTCCTCAATGTAGCTTTCTTTACCATTGAGGAGTTATTGATTACTCCGGTGGTTATGTGATTCATCTCTCATCTGGTGTTGCCGGTTTCGTCACCGCTTATTGGATATGTTTTTCTAAAATTAGATATTTTCTTTATGATTTTTTTCACGAATTTAATTTAATTACATTAATCTGAATTTGACGAGATAACATGATTTTTTTTTGGTTTTGGTGGGAAAACAAGATTTTTTTAGTTTTGGTGGGAAAGCGACATTTTTTTTTTGGTTTTGTCGGAAAAACAAGATTTTCGATTTTGACAAAAAAATGTGATTTATCGTTTTTTCGGTTTTGGCGAAAAAATGTTTTCTTTGTTTTTAGGTTGAAAATGTAATTTTGCGATTTTGTATTTTTTTCTCCTAAGCAACAAAATGATATTAGGTTTAGATTGTAATTTGTCAATTATATCAGAGATATAATTGACATTATACTTTTTTGATAGAATCTAGATGGTTCAGTTTGGATCAGCCAGTGAGTTTCAAAATTAAGCCTAAACTAATTTTCGATCCGCGCGTTCGCGCGGGTGTTTGTTTTTCAGAATCATATGTTTTAAATTTTTGAAAATGCGATAAATTTAATTATTTATGCATTTATGTTATGGATTAATATGTTCTTCAGAACCATGATTGACATTGGTGTGTCTTGTTCAATGTGGTTAATGTTCGTTTCTAAACTATGAGATTATGTTTTTATTTTTGTTGTGCTTTATTTCGTTTATTTGGTAAAGTAAACGGTAAAATGTCAGAGTTTTCCTATATAAAGTTCAAAATTGTTATTGAGATTTTTAAATACAAAGATATTTTTTGTCTAATAATAATGAAACCAAGTTTAAAAATAAATTAAAAATGAGAAGATATTTAATTGAAGTCATTAGTTTAGATTATTTGGTTATGAACTTATAATTAAAACGGGCCAAAACTTAACTACTATTGTTGTTTTTATCATAATCCATATCATAGTGATATATAAAAGATGAGAAAAACTGACCTATGGCCCAAACCAAAAGAATAAAATGAGACTATAAGAACATCATTAACCCGAAATTTTTAGGATGGGTTTTTATCGGAAGTTAAGAATTTGTTTTAACTTTTAACCAAAAAAAAATTAAGAATCAGTTTTAAAATCATTATTTAAGAAGCTGTTCTTACTTTTTTTTCTTTTTTTTAAACCCTATCCTAACCCACCTTAAGAACTCGGGTTAATGATGGTATAAGTACCTTCCTCCTCTTCTTTCCTAAAAATATCGTAAAGCGCACGGCAGCCTAGGGTTAGAACAACACTTCTCCATGGACACGAACTCTAGCCAGAATAGATCCGTCGCCAAGGTAATCTCGAATACTCCTACTCGGATCTCTTTTCTCTATTAAAGGTTCGTTATTCGGAAATTAAGAAGAATATCTGACTGTTTGTATTTTTAGGGGCCGATAAGGTTCGAAAGTGAGGCTGCTCTGGAAGCCTTCATCGAGAAGAGCTCCAGGCCCCGGTAATTAATTGATGCTTTGATTTGAAGATATTTTTGTATGTGTTGTTAATTTTCTTTTTTTTGATGTGAATTAGGGTTAGGATGTCTGTTGAAGGATTCAACCCTTTCCGACCTGCGGATGAAATAAAGAGAGAATTGGTTAATCACTTCAGTTCATGTGGCGACGAATTTAGGGTTAATGTTCCCACTGACCCTATTGTCGACAGGTCTGTGTCTTATATATTTTTGACATAATAATAATAATATTTGTGACATTTGTGAGCTAAAAAAAAAAACAATTGGTCTTTGTTACAGACGTGCTTTTGTTATTCTTCGTGGACATGGCGCAGAAGAGAAAGCTTTGCAACTTAATGGAAGTGTCATCGGTGATTGGAATGCCATTGTTAAGGTTGCACCCGAGGAAGAAGAGGAGGAATACCTGGCGGTATCATATTATAGAGGATCTCTCATTAACGCCCTACTCAACGACAGGAGATTGTAAGTTGATTCTCCTCTTCTTCTTTTTTTTCCCTTTTTTTTACATCTGTATAAATATACATGCAACAAAATTACTGCAGTATGTTTGGCGTTGCGGTTAGCGGGTATGACACTTCCCTCCCTGAAGATGAAGTAGAGAGAGCTTTGAGAGCACATTTCTCTTCTTGTGGAGAGATAACACATGTTTACATTTGTACTGGGGACGAGCGTGCTAATATCTATTTTTCCCAAGAAGAAGGTGAAGCTTTGGCTCTGGGTCTTCATGGAAGTGAAGTGGGAGGATTCAAAATAACTACTAGTCACTTAGCCACGGTCAGACCTAACCGTCCCGCTCCTTGTAAGGGATATACCATTCCAGGTACATCAAATGTTTTTCTTGATTCTTGATTCTTAAGGTTCGTTGAACTTCTCATGACTTCTGTCTTTATTGTGTATTTGTAGCTCATATGATCGAGTTTCGCCCCGAGATTAGGCGTAAGGTCATGGCTTTTAAGAAGATTAAGAGGACCTTGAAGAGGGTCACGGCCTTGAGGAAGGCTTTTAGGAATGCAAGGAGGGAGGAGAAGGAGATGATGATGAGGCCCATACTCTCCCAAAAAGACTAAGAAGCTCTTTGGTGTTTATGAATCCTTTTGATAATACAGTGCAACCTTCTTTATTTTATCACTCGGTGCCATCTTAAGCTCACTCAATGTATGATGACCCTTTTGTTTGTGTGTGTCTGTGGATGGTAAACACAAATCTAATCATTGTCAAAAAAACATAAATTTAATAGCAGTTATCTTAGTATTATTAGCCGATTTGCTTAGGTAGAGCAGAAGCATAAACCAAAACGTTTGAAACATTGTTTACAAAGATTTCCACACCAGAGAATGTTGATGTAGAAATTTCTCTCTCAAGAAGACTAAGAAGCTCATTGGTGTTTATGAATCCATTGATAATAATACAATGCAACCTTCTTTATTTTATCACTTGGGCTTTCTTAAGCTCAATGTATGACATAATGCATTGTTTGTTAAGTAACTAATGCCTAAGAAGAAGAGACTGTTTGAAACCCAAAAAGCTCTTCCCTGGATCATCAACAGAAGACCAATAATCGTAGAGCTGCATCCAGCAATCAGCATATGGTTCCATTGCTGGAGTAGCGGGCGGATCAGGAGCTATAAATATGCAAAATATTCATTGCGACTGAATCAATAACGAGTCTTCTATTGGTTGTTCTTGATTCACCATTCACTAGAGGTTTCAGTGATTTCTTTAGCCTAACAAATAATTCATTCCCATTTACACCTTGAACAAACAGGGCAATATGTTAGTTTTTTTGCCGTCTTATTAGATTACTTTATAAACATATTATTATTATTAGATTTTTATTAATAATGTACAGGAAGACCAAGGCGTCAGCTAATAAGTCTGCTCGCACACCCGGAAAGAACGGAATATCCGCCAAGGTCTTCCACCTACTGTCATGATCTCACTTCTCACTGCTTTTGTCCATTTACACCTTGAACAAACAATCTACACTTGTTAGTTTTGAATTGAAACTTTGTGATTTATAAAATTCATTCCTACCACAAATATGGCTCTACATCAAACCCGTTCAAGACATGGACTCAATTCAGTTATAAAATGATTAGATTGCTAAAAACGGCAAATAACCACCTCTATTTCCAACATTACATTTGTGAAATGGTTTGACGCCAAGGCATCGCACCTCTAGATTTTCTCATAAAATGAAATTAACATTTATGTATGTACAAGCGTCTATCTAGTAATCTTGATGTGCCTACAAATAGAAAAGATATATGGATGGATATCAAAACATAATTGTAGACTTGTTTAGAAGTGGAGGGATATCACAAGCTTCCGGAAGATACAGAGGGAAAAGAATGATTCTTTGATCATGTTTCTGATATAGTGATCGAAGAAAGACACTCGATGTAATAAAAGCTTTTGATTGCGTAAAAAAGAAAATTGCACTCAATAGTCTAAAAAAAAAACAAAATTTGCAAAGTAGCCAAAATCCCACTTTCTTTCCCCTCTCTTGTTCCTATCTCTCTCTAATTTCTTTCTAAAACAACTAATTTTGATTTTTTCTTACTTATTTCACAAATTGTCCCAAAAAGAATTTAGTTCAAGAATCATTCTTTTATAGTTCAAAAAGCCACTAGCTACATATAACTGTATAAGTGGTTCGATCCGTCTCCTTCCCATGCTTCATTATATATCTATTATATATACCTTTTAACAAACTAACAAAAATCTAATTATATATATACAAATAACTCGCTAACTTTACCTAGTAAATAAGATAATTTTATAGTATCTTAACCAATAATATAGGACAGTTTTCGTAATAAAAATAACACTTCATAGGGTGTTTTGTACTTTCTTAATGATACTTAGGGTGTTTTGTACTTTCTTAATGATACTTGTATCAAATTAATTTTTTTATTTTTTAATGATACATATAACGAAGTGATAGACGAAAGCGAAAGTAGTAGTAATATATTGTGATGTGATGTTTAATTTATATACAGGAAATTTTTCCCAACTGGCAATTAGTTAGGATTATTGGTTCCCATGATCCTATAAAATTTCGTGTACAGTTAATCGATTCGAAGAATATTGGTATGCTTCTCGAATTGATTATTGCAAAATTTGTATTCTATAATGATATGGTGGTGCTTATATGATATCCATATGAAATGGACGTCGTTGATTACTATATATGACGTTGATCCTGTTGTTTAATTGAATCTATAGAAACCTTCGACATACCAAGCACGACGTTCGGGCCAGTATCAATTTGATTTATTAACAGATGAATCTTTGCTTCGTAAACATTCGATATGTTACTTGGTCAACTTATTCGGTATTAAACATGGCCGCACGATCAAATTTGAGGAACAATGCCCAAATTTTAGAATCGTATGTCTAATCTCATAGTCATACTTGTACATATATGAGAAGTCACTTGAGTACAGTAGGTAGAAGTCACTCACCATCAGAGTCGAATAACTTCTGAAACCACATGAATTTCGCAACAGCAAATGAAAGATAAAATGGATCAAGTGAAAGTATCTTAAGTCTTAACAGTAAGAAGACCCTAATTGTGAGAGTGATAACATATTTTTTTTTGTCGTAGTAACAAATTTTATTCTAGTTTCTGTTTATGGGTGTTAAAAAAAAGTGTTTCAAAAAAAAGTTTTTGTTTATGTACCTGGAATGTTATTTTATTTAAATTTAGACATTTTTTCATGTAAGCAAGGATTCAACTAACATTATTTAGCTATGATTTTATAGCTCATTTATTTCAACGAAAAAATTACAAAAGTATAAGTTTGTTACCGTTGTACAGTGATTTTAAAATAAAGTCATATTTATTCAATGATAGCTTCAAAATATTATATAAAAGATACCATAGGAGGAAGAAATCCAACATCCTAAAATAATATACTCCTTCTGTATTATAATATAATAAGTAGTTTTGATAAAAAAAAATGTTTCAAATATTAATTAATTTATATTTCAATCTTTTTACTTATTGGATATTTTGTGAGAATTTAAAATATATAACTCTTTTATAATCAGTTAAATTTACATATTAAATAATAATTTTTTAAAGTAGCTATTTTTTAATTTTAATATTTTTTGCTTAAAACTTTTTATATTGTGAAATAGAGGGAGTATATGCTTTAGAATGTTGCAAATAGCTATGGACTTTATGATGATAAATATCAAATCCACACCTATTTATTTATTTTTCCTGATTAATCTTTAATGTTATTTTTATTTTTGAAGATAATAATCTTTTTTTGGTCGAAGAAGATAATAGTTTTAGAACACCATTAAATCATTAACGCACAATTCTGAGGGGATGCTTATTTGTTTTTTTTGTGAAAAAAGTAATTAAAAAAAAATTAATCGCGATTCGTCACATGTCAGTAGAGTCCGTAAACAGTATAAAACAGACACCTAAATAAGTCTTAAAAACGCAGGTGCTTCAAAATTTATAAGGTTCACATAACTATTATATTTGTTTTCTTTTTAACTTCCCTCCCCGAAGCTACCGCGATAATTATGTTCTGAAACGCGATAACTGTGTAAGAAAGAAGAAGCTTGTTTGAAAAAAATCAAGATGCTAACTGAAGAATGAAAAAAATATCAGTCTTTTGACCCAAAAAGAAAAACATATCAGTCTATCTCCGAAGACTTTTCTCCTCCAGACTGTACAACAAAACACCACTTGTGACTTGTCTACATTATTTTATTAAATGTTTTCACACATACATTTTCATGCTCTTTTACCATTGACTATAAAAACATTGAAACCTCCCAAGAAAGTCATCAGGATCATCATCATCATCAACTCCTGGAAAGAGGGAGAGGTAGACATGGCCGAAGCTTACAATGCGACCTTAACAAAGGTTCCTGAATGGCTTAACAAAGGAGACAACGCATGGCAGCTCACGGCGGCGACTCTGGTCGGTCTACAAAGCATGCCAGGTCTAGTCATCCTCTACGCCTCCATCGTCAAGAAGAAATGGGCTGTGAACTCCGCTTTTATGGCTCTCTACGCCTTCGCCGCTGTTCTCCTCTGTTGGGTCCTCCTCTGTTACAAAATGGCTTTCGGAGATGAGCTTTTACCTTTCTGGGGTCGAGGTGGTCCCGCCTTCGACCAAGGATACCTCAAAGACAGAGCCAAGGTCTTGAACTCAGTTTATGTCTTGTCTGAATGAGATTTCTTTGGTTGACTCTTTGGTTTTCTTCTTACAGATCCCATCAACTGTCTTTAAGTCAGCAAACGGGACGATAGAGATACCAGCGGTGATGCCGTTGTTTCCCATGGCGACTTTGGTGTATTTTCAGTTCACTTTTGCGGCGATAACGACAATACTTGTGGCCGGGTCGGTGTTGGGGAGGATGAATATTAAAGCGTGGATGGCTTTTGTGCCGTTGTGGCTGATCTTTAGCTACACAGTCGGAGCTTATAGTATATGGGGGGGTGGGTTTCTGTACCAATGGGGAGTTATTGATTACTCCGGCGGATATGTTATTCATCTCTCCTCTGGTGTTGCCGGCTTCGTCGCAGCTTATTGGGTATGTTTAAAAATAATTAAATATCTCAATTTTCTTTATGTTATTTCCACGAATTACATTCAGTTACATTCATTTACGACCAAAATAAATATAGATATTTTGGTTGTGAATCTAGAGGGGCTTTGTATATATTTTAGGTATATACATGAAGAATTTACAAGTACAATTTTTTTTTCAAAAAAATATTATTTTATATACTAGATAAATAATTTGGCTGACCATGAAAAATTTGCAGCATTTAGTTAGTTATAAAATATCTAGTACGTATAAAAGCTACTTCTTTAGAAACATAAAAATAACTTCAATTTAGAAAATACAAAAGGAATATTTTAGTTACTTCTCTTAGCAAAAAAAAAAATATTTTTAGTTAGTTCGGATCATGTTAGTCAAAATAGATAACAAATATTGGTTTTTGTTGAAAATATTAATGTACGGTAGACGACGTGGTCATAGACTCGGAAAATTTTCTAACAAAGTATATTTTGATGTAGACTCATCCTGAAAATACCAAGTCTTGTTTTGCTTTATCTTTCGAGATGATTACGTATTCAAATTTGAAGGTTCTTAGTTAATATATAGATCAGTTTAATGTTTGATCCATCCACTAACAAAAAGTAATTAATTTGCAAGTCATATATAGATTAAATAAAATATTGTAGGATTGACAACTCGATATTACCTTACATAGTATAATTGACCTTAGACAAAGTAATAACATTACTTTTTAGTTTTTATGAAAGAAATTAATTGTTTCCCTCTATTCTGCATTTTGTCGCACATATAGAAGTCAATTCCAAATGATACGATCATACGACATATAATAAGCAACACTAGTTCAGAAAAGAATCGTACCATACTTCATTACTTCCATGTTGCATATTGACATTGATATGATAAATTAAACTAAATTTTATATGTATTACATGTTGGTAGGTGGGACCTAGGCCGCAAGCTGACAGAGAAAGATTTCCACCGAACAATGTTCTTTTAATGCTTGCCGGAGCTGGTCTTCTATGGATGGGATGGTCCGGTTTTAACGGCGGAGCTCCATACGCGGCCAACATAACCTCCTCAATCGCGGTGCTCAACACCAACCTCTCCGCTGCCACAAGCCTCCTAGTATGGACCACACTCGATGTTATCTTCTTTGGCAAACCTTCTGTCATAGGAGCCATTCAAGGCATGGTCACTGGTCTCGCCGGCGTTACTCCCGGAGCAGGTCTCATTCTACTTTAAAATCTAGTTTAGTATTTGGTTAAGAGGTAGACATAAATAAACATAAGAACTAATTGTAACATTGCATGGTTAATTTACTTATATTGCAGGATTGATTCAAACATGGGCAGCTATAATAATTGGAATATTCTCAGGATCAGTTCCATGGGCCTCTATGATGATCCTTCACAAGAAATCAGCTCTCCTCCAACAGGTAAATTATCTTTACCCTTCAATTTTTTTTATTTTTATCTTTACCATTTTGTGTGATTTGAACTAAGATTATATTTAGGTCTTTCATTTTGGATTTTAAAAGTATAATAAATGGGATCTTAACTTGCAGTTGATAGTATTCTTCTGAAGTAGTATATGTTTTACACCATTTGAAGTATGCTATATAAAGCAATGTTTCATTGTATATATTTTTGTTTATAGTAATTCTATGTTTTAATGTAAATATATCAATTCTTGAGTTAATGTATTTTAATAACAAAAAATCTAAGATATATTATGATTGAATGAAATGAACAGGTCGATGATACGTTAGCAGTATTCTACACACACGCAGTAGCCGGGATACTAGGTGGAACAATGACCGGCTTATTCGCACATCCTGATCTCTGCGAGCTGACACTTCCTAACCCAACCAGAGGAGCTTTCTACGGCGGCGTTGGCGGCAAACAGCTTTTGAAACAGTGGGCCGGAGCTGCCTTCATTATTGTATGGAATCTGGTGTCGACGACTCTCATACTTCTTGCTATCAAAATGTTCATACCATTGAGAATGGCTGAGGAAGAGCTTGGGATTGGAGATGACGCTGCTCATGGAGAAGAGGCTTATGCTCTTTGGGGAGATGGAGAGAAGTTTGATGCCACGAGGCATGCAACACAAATGCAACAGTTTGAGAGAGATCAAGAAGCTGCTCATCCTGCTTATGTTCATGGTGCTAGAGGTGTAACCATTGTTTTATAAAAACATCTTTATGTGCTTTCATTTTTTTTTTTTTTGTGTCTCCTTTTTTTTTCTTTTGGTGTTGTAGAGACATGAAAGAGTGATGTGTTATTTTGTTAAATTTGGTAGAATTGGTCATTTAGCTTAGTATTCGTTTGTAATGAACATACTTTCTTAGTTTTCTCTGTACCAATAACAAATATTTTTGCCAAATAACTTTGCAACTTAATGGAGGAGATGTTGAAATAGAACCGCCACTATATTGTATTACTTATTAGTTTGGTTGAACAGATTTGATCATGAAAAAACGCTTGGGGACTAAACCAAACACATTCTTGTGATAATGCGTAAGAAGATGAGCGCACAAGGGAGCTACTGAAACCTAGCTGATACAAACCAAAGGTATGAAATGTCAACACTTTGTGTCTAGATGATAGTGTCAAACCTTCATTGTTGGAATTATGATTAATGTTTCAATGCTAAACCTAGTTCTGTTTGAATTATGACCGGCTCATCACTGTTTCTAGTTTCTTAGGTCTGTAGTGACATGTGAGATTTTCTTATAGGTTTTAGACTAATGTAGTAATGTGTCAGTGTTATTGTTCTAAACCCAAGTCCTCTCTGTATTAGAGCGGACATGTAACACCCTATTAAGATTATCTTAGGATCGTGGGTGACGTATGGTAAACCTTCCATTAAAAAATAGTGTTTTGAAAAAACTGAACACTGATGAAGAAATCACTTGTTTAAAGTTTGTCTCTATAGTTGTGTCACCACTTTCTATTTGTTTAACTGGTTCTTAAGGCATCTTCAACCTCTAGATACTTTTAAAATGTCTCAAATATGATATTAAATGTTAAATATAATTTAATCATTTAGTTAATTTATAATTTAGAAAACGAAAAAATAAAATTAATTTATAAAAAATTATAAGTGTATTTATAAAATTAATTTATGAATATTCATAAGTTTTTTTCCAAATCTGATAATTTCATCTTACTATTTTCATTATAAGATACTTATACGGAAAAAATTTAATAGAAATGTTTAAAATGTGAATTTATTTAAAAGACCAAAAAGCCTGGCAGGTTATAGGCGATGATGGGCCTGCCTATAAATACCAAAGCTAAAACCTTTTTCTTCTTACCGTCATTCGCCCACTCAAACCAAACTCTGTAGCTTACTGTCTGCTCACACCCCACTCATGGAACCGAATATTTACCAGCTTGCCCTCGCTGCTCTCTTCGGAGCTTCCTTAGTTGCCATCTCAGGGTCTTACTTGCACGTCAAGGTCCTGAATCTCATCCTCGAGCGTGGCAGAGAGAAGAAAGACAACACCGAAGGAGGAGGAGGAGACTCTCCACATCATCAAAGTCAAACCCTTTCGAACCGGAGAAGCCAAATTAGAAGGAGAGGACACAGCCCATCTTCTCTTCCAGACGCCGCCACGCCTTTCACGGATGATGCAGGACGCAGCAATGGAGACGTTTGTGTGAATGAGATCCCTCCTGGTTTGCCCAGGCTTCATACTCCATCTGAAGGTATTGAGAACTTGTCTTGGATTGATCAGTTTAGAGTTTGGATATAAGTTTTAGTGTGGTTTTATAGAAAAAGATTCGATTTTTTAATCTGGGTTAGTGTCTTTTGGTTATGTAATAGAATGTGATGGTGTTTTTCAGGGAGATCTTCAGTACATGGGAGTAGTAGTATCAGGAAAGCTGGAAGCTTTGTTAGACCCATTTCTCCTAAGTCTCCTGTTGCTAGTGGTAGTGCCTTTGAGAGTATGGGGGAATCAGATGATGATGATGATAATTTGACTGATGCTGCTGAGTTGGATGCTTCCTACTTGCAAGACAATGGGGACTTGGTGAGTGCTTATTTAGCGTTTTGTTTATTGAGTAAGAAAAAGGCTTACATGTATGTTTTTTTTTTGTGCAGCCTGCAGATGCTACTGAGGAGCAGATATCTATGGCTGCTTCAAGCATGATTCGTTCACACAGTATGTCTGGTGATTTACACGGAGTTCAGCCTGATCCTATTGCGGCTGATATTCTTCGTAAAGAGCCTGAGCAAGAGACTTTTGTGCGTCTTGACGTTCCTCTTGGTAAGAATGGTTACCTGTTAGCATAAATCATGAGATGTTTGATTCTGTAGCCCCACTAGTTTTAATTCTTTACTTAGTGGCAATGAGTTAAGTAGCACTACGAGAAAGGGTTAAGTTAAAGTCTTTACTCTATTAGCTGAGCTTTTGAATCTTGAACCTATTTTCTTATTAAGATTTTTACACATGATCTGTTCAGAGGCCCCAACGTCAGATGAAGTTGATGCCTATAAATGTCTGCAAGAATGTCTTGAGTTACGGAAGAGGTATGTCTTCCAAGAAAAAGTTGCCCCATGGGAAAAGGAAGTCATATCTGATCCTAGTACTCCGAAGCCTAATTTAGAGCCATTTGCACACTATCCTCAGGGAAAGACTGATGTGAGTTTTTCTCCTTAGTTTTATTTCATGAAATGACATGTAACTGATGACCTTAACTTCCTTAATTGTGTATGTTTACAGCATCACTTTGAGATGCAAGATGGAGTAGTCCATGTGTTTCCAAATAAAGATGGTAAGAGGCTAAGAGCACAAGTAGTGGAACCTTAATGCTTTATTTTGTCATGTACATGAAAATGACCATGTGTTTTTGTTTTGTTATTCCCAGCAAAGGAAGAGCTCTTCCCTGTAGCTGACGCCACAACGTTTTTCACTGACTTGCATCACGTACTCAAAGTCACAGCTGCAGGAAACATAAGGACTTTGTGTCACCGTCGACTAGTACTCCTAGAACAGGCAAGAGTTTTAGTTAGAGAAGAATTAGTTTCAGTAAGTTAGTTTCATCTGGTTCACATTATGATCCTTTTTTTTGTGTGTTTCAGAAATTTAATCTCCATTTGATGCTTAATGCTGATAAAGAATTTCTTGCCCAAAAGAGTGCACCACATCGTGATTTTTATAACGTTAGGAAAGTCGACACTCATGTTCATCATTCAGCTTGCATGAATCAGAAACACCTCTTAAGGTTTATCAAGTCAAAGCTCCGGAAAGAACCTGATGAGGTAAACAATTGGAACCATTTGTATTTAGATTAGTATACAGATATGATAACGTTTTTGCTCTACTCAGGTTGTCATCTTCCGGGACGGAACATATTTAACCTTGAAAGAAGTCTTTGAGAGCTTGGATCTAACTGGGTAATTTACACATCCAGTTTTTAATTTACACATTAAGTCAATCTAACTGCAAGACTGTTAAATTACTCTTATTGTTATGCAGAATATTTGTATCACATCTTTTCCTAATTTACGGTTATGCTGATGAAATAAACCTTTTTCCCTGTCTTTGAACTTTGCACAGATATGACCTGAACGTCGACCTTTTGGATGTTCATGCAGACAAGAGTACATTCCATCGCTTTGATAAGTTCAACCTTAAGTACAATCCCTGTGGTCAAAGTAGGCTTAGGGAAATTTTCCTTAAACAGGATAACCTCATCCAAGGTATTTATATTTATTTTTTTGTCACTTTAAGACCATTTTTGGTTCAGTTGATGCGGCAGTTATGCACTGCCAGCTGCTTACCTCACCATGTGACACTAGAGGAAGTTATTTTAAGTGATATGATTGCAAAAATATACTTTTTGAGTTTTGACGTTTCTTTTGTTTTTGGTTTCAGGTCGTTTTCTTGGTGAGATAACAAAACAAGTTTTCTCCGACCTTGAAGCTAGCAAATATCAGGTAAACTCCATGTGCATCTTCAGTAGGCATTGAGAAAGAAAGAACATGATGCTTTAAAACACTGTTACAATTCAAATTTTAGTAACCTGCTGGAAATACTAAGTGGCTTAGGATTTGATAATGAAGCTCCACCCGGTTCCCACTCCCCCTTACAGACTCAACGCTCGCTTTCTTTCTTAACTCCCTAAAGTTAACTTTGTTCATGCTAGTGTGCATTTTTCTGAAAAAAATAATATATGGCACTGTGCTCGATTTCTGTGGTAAGGAATCTTCTAGCCAAAACAGATTCGTGATTGCTCTTTATTGTTTTTTCGCAACATTGCAGATGGCTGAATACAGAATATCTGTATACGGTAGAAAAATGAGCGAGTGGGACCAACTTGCTAGTTGGATTGTGAACAATGATCTATACAGTGAGAACGTTGTTTGGTTAATTCAGGTTGGCTATCTTTTTGAATATTATCTGTGTATCTCTCAGTGACTGCTAACTGACAGATACTTACCTTGTTTTATGTCTGTCTGCTCACTAGCTTCCACGCTTGTACAACATTTACAAGGACATGGGTATTGTGACATCGTTTCAGAACATCCTTGACAATATATTCATCCCCTTGTTTGAAGCCACAGTAGATCCTGATTCACATCCCCAGCTCCATGTCTTTTTGAAGCAGGTTAGCATCTATATCTTCAGAGAAACTAAGAAGCAGAATGTCTTGGAACAATTAAAAAGTTGGTTGCTCTTTTCTTGTTTGCATATCAGGTTGTTGGATTTGATTTGGTTGATGATGAAAGTAAACCTGAAAGACGTCCTACGAAACACATGCCCACTCCAGATCAATGGACCAACTCATTTAATCCTGCATTCTCTTACTATGTCTACTATTGCTATGCTAACCTCTACGTGTTAAACAAGGTACCATTTCTTCCTTCTGTAACTAACTTGATGTTGTCTAAACTGTGTACTATGGAGTAACTGTTTTGTATTTTTTTCAGCTTCGGGAGTCAAAAGGCATGACGACCATCACGCTACGGCCACACTCTGGGGAGGTACTTTATCTCTCTTCCTTTGAACTATATGAATAGTTTTTCATTTTCAGTTCAACTGATGTTTTGAGATGTTTACAAATTATTAGGCTGGTGAGATTGACCACTTGGCTGCTACGTTTCTCACATGCCATAGCATTGCACACGGAATCAAGCTACGAAAGTCTCCTGTGCTTCAGTATCTATACTACCTCGCTCAGGTTTGCAGAGACTATGTGTTATCGTCTCTGATCGAAAAACATATAACTGACTGTGACATTTTATTTATTCTTGACAAGATTGGTCTGGCCATGTCTCCACTGAGCAACAACTCTCTGTTTCTAGATTACCACAGAAACCCATTTCCTGTGTTTTTCTTAAGAGGTCTCAATGTTTCCCTGTCTACGGATGA